TTGTTATTCACTGGGCTTTAGTTCACTGTTTATATTTACATGTAGGTGTCCAAGCATCGGACCGAAGCTAAGAGCGTCAAGTTAAGCTCTTGTTTTGTTAAGCCAACCACCGTGCCTCACCTCGAGGTTCCGAGTCCGTTCAAGCCACGGCTGTTTTGGGGTGTCTGAGTTTCACCCTTTTGTCTCTGATCTGTAATAAATATTTAAGACTTGACTGTACAGTTATAGTTAGGGATTTGGTCCCTAACATGGATGTTTGTGTTTATGATGTATGTATATATGTTTTGGTTATGAATGTGGCTTGTTTATAAAAGTCTTTTTGCATTCCGATTATCACAGCTCATTGGACATCTTTTATTTACTGTTTGGCTTCCGCCAGCCCCTTTACTCTGTGTTACTGTCATTACTGTTAAGTAGGCCTTCAATAATCACGAATTACTGGCCGGTTGCGATGCTAAACCCATAGGGGCGGGTTTGGGCCATGACAGTCAGCTTGGCAACTTGCTTCTTGACGAGCAAGATCAGCTCGGCAAGGAACTCAAAGGTCAGCGAGCAAGGTCAGCTCGGTGACTTTCTTCTTGGCGAGCCAGATTAGCTCGGCAAGGAACTCTAAGGTCGCGAGCAAGGTCCGCTCGGCGACTTGCTTCTTGGCGAGCAAGATTAGCTCGGCAAGGAACTCCATGGTCAACGAGCAAGGTCCGCTCGGTGATTTACTTCTTGGCAAGCAAGATTAGCTCGGCAAGAAACTCAAAGGTCGGCGAGCAAGGTCAGCTCGGCGACTTTTTTCTTGTCGATCATCTCGGCAAGGTAGGTACTCCAAGGTCGCGAGCAAGGTCCGCTCGGCGACTTGTTTCTTAGCGAGCAAGATCAGCTCGGCAAATAACTCCAAGGTCGACGAGCAAGGTCCGCTCGACGACTTTCTTCTTGGCGAGCAAGATTAGCTTGACAATGAACTCCAAGGTCGGCGAGCAAGGTCAGCTCGGTGACTTGCTTTTTGGCGAGCAAGATTAGCTCGGCAAGGAACTCAACGATCGGCGAGCAAAGTCAGCTCGGCGACTTGTTTCTTGGCAAGCAGGATCAGCTCAGCAAATAACTCTAACGTCGACGAGCAAGGTCCGCTCGACGACTTTCTTCTTGGCGAGCCAGATCAGCTCGGCAAGGAACTCCAAGGTCGGCGAGCAAGGTCAGCTTGGCGACTTGCTTCTTGGCGAGCAAGATCAGCTCGGTAAGGAATTCTAAAGTTGATTAAAACCATCAACAAACCTCTTGCCGAGTAAAATTCATCCGACAAGGAATTTCAGAGTTGATAAAATCATCAACAAACCTCTTGCCGAGCAAAATCCGTCCGGCAAGGAATTCCAAAATTGATCAAAACCATCAACAAACCTCTTGCCGAGCAAAATCCGCCCTGTAAGGAATTTTGATCTCTCTGTCAAAATGATTTTTAGTTGCCCTTGGATCGCACTAAATCCGCTTGGCAAGGCAAAAATACAACAATTCTCAAGAAAATGGTCTACTTGTTTCATTATGCTAATGGCAAAAACGGTTACAAAAATAGAACTAAGAACAAAACTTTAGATTGGTAGAGTTCGATGTTCTAAAAATGGATCGGCCATTTACATTCCTCAAGTTTTATGCCCTTTTTCCTTGGCCTTCTTACAGATGTCTTCCAAAAACCGAACTCCCTATATCTCTTCCATGGTGGTTTGCATGGCCATCATCTTGTCCAACTGCGTGAACCTTTCGCACTACTTTCTTATTCTCTACTACCAGACTTGTCGTCACGATAGCTGCGGCTGCATCGTCTTCAACTTGGATGTGCTCATTAATGTGTTGCATGAGCAATTCCATGGTTGACGGTTGATTCATTATGAGCGAGTCTCTCAGTCGATGTCCAACTGGAAGACCGCGCTTATACTGAGTGATTGCAAGGTTGGTCGGGTAATCAAGGATCTCGTTGAAAGTCTCCAAATACTTAGTGTTATACACCTTCAAAGAGTCGTCTTGCTCCATCTTTACTCTCAAGAGATGGTCAATTTCCTTGGGCATTTTAGCATTTGTCTTAAATCTGGTGACAAATGTCTCTACCAACTATTGCCACCTCTTGATGCTCTCCTTCGGCAGCCTCTCGAACCATTTTAGGCCCAACTCGCCCAAACTTGATGGAAAAACAAGGCACATGAGCGCATCGTTTTGCCTGTGCCCAGCCATAACCTGCCGGAAGTAGCTTACGTGCATATATGGATCAGTCTTTCCGTCATAGAGCGTGAACTTTGGTTGACGGAACTCGGGGGGGAAGCGATGTGTTCTCGATCTCTACGAAAAAAGGGGTGGCACTTAGCCTTGCCAACTCTCTGTCTGGTGGCGGGCGTGCCGCCAAGTGTGGTTGTGGCATGGCGACCTTTTCACTGGCTCGCCCTCTAAGGACTAGCCGCTGTAGTGCAAGCACCCTCTGTGCCTCCTGCCGGCGAGCACGCTCCTCCAACACATCCCTTAAGTTTTTCGAATGGTCGGAGCGAGAATACCTCGACGCCGTCGTCTAGTGTGAGGGGTGGTAACTGCTGCTTTGCGTGCGAGATATTGTCGCCGGTGCTACGTAGTCTCCAGCTCTGAAGCTTCTCGTGGCGGAGAGTGAAGGTGTGTGACGTCTATTAAGACTACCGAAACGGCGAGAATGGGCGTGCTCATTGTGGTTTCCCACTCCAGCAATGCCCTTTCCCTTCATCTGGTATCTCATGGCCTCCATTTCTGTCGCTATTTTCTTGATGATGGTATCTTGATCTCTCAGCTTGTGTTCTAAGTGTTAAGTGTGTGAATCTTGCCGTCGGTGACGCTCTTTTGGAATGATAGAGCGCTCAAAGCTCCTTACGCGCTTGTCTCGCGCATCCCTGGGAAATCCTTGTGCGGAGGTCTCCAAATCAGCCATCGTCGGAATGGCAGACAGGCCATCTCTGAGACAAACGAACTTTGGCGTGATGCCGTTGATGGCGAGTAACGGAATGTCGTTGTGGTTCGTCATAAAAGATGACCGGAGAAGCTTGGAGGACAAGGTTTTGTTTGTCGAATTCCCACAGACGGCGCCAATTGTATGAGGGACAAATATTTGGTACCGCCAGTATTCCTTGCGTCCAAGCTTCGCTTCGATCCGATTAACCTGCGAGCACAACGGCGGTGAGCTACCCAGCGGTGTGTTGTCGGAAAATTCCTCCGACGGTCAAGTTAGCACACACTCAGAGATAGAGAGAGAGAGAGAGAGAGAGAGAGAGGAAGGGAGTTTCTCTCACCAGATGAAGTTTCATCCCCAGCATGGGAGGCGTAGTAACGTTTACATACCTTCTGCGCGTGCCTCTGCGTCCATTTGCCTTTCGACACGTGGACCTGCTTCCCTATCCTACTTTCCCATGTGTCAGCGTAAATACAGCTAAACACCACCTAACCAAACTGCCAAACGGCGTTGGCGTGAATGGACAGCCCGACAGTGCTGCCTTATCTTCCTACGACCGTATTACTTCCGGGACATGTAATGCTCTGAGCTGAGCTCTGTTATGACCGAGCTTAGCAGCCCTCCGTAATGACTGAGCACTTGCTCGGTTGGCCGGTCTGCGAAGGATCTTGCACGCCGATCTCAATGAGCAAACAACACGAACCGAGCTAGCAGAGAAGTTATCCCGGCCAAATCGGACCTGGGCTTTAACCGAGCGCACTGCACCTGGATTGCCCCAGCCTAGCTCGGCCTAAACATGCTCGGACCAATTTTAGCCCGGTCATTACCACGGCCCAAAGCTAGATTATGAAATCTCCCTCACATAATTATATTCATATGCAATCTGTTGTACTTTAATCACTAGAATTAGCATCATCCTAAAACAATAACATGAGGGATATTTTGAAATTTTATATGAAATCTTAATAAAATCAAAATGACCAAATGCTCAAATGATCCTTGAAAAATTTTGTGGCAGTTTGATCTTCAAAATATGCCCTTTACTTGTTACATTTAGGTCATAATCTTTTAATTTTATTGCATTTTTTGGTAAAATTCTTAAAAACTCTCCCTCTTAATTATCAATTTTGAATGGCTCTGACACCAAAAACTAAAGTGTAACAAATCTAATAATTCAGATATCAAAGTAGGAAACTTAAATGATTTGGAATTATAGTGTAACAGATAGCCTATTTTGAAAACTATTTGTATAATTAACTCCAATTGATAATTTTGGGGTGTTTGGGAAGAGGCTTTTAGGTGTTTTATATTTTTACATTTTTATTTTTTGTTAAAATCGTTTTAAAAGACAAAATATGTTAAAATAGTCAATAAAACTCACTTTTTTCTCTCACAAATATCACATTCAACTAAAAAAAAAAAAAAAAAAATCTAACCCTCTTCCCACCACAACTATTTTAATCCACTATAATAAGTCAAAAATTAAAATAACCTACCAAAATAACTAACTTTCCAAACAAAGCCTTTATATGTAAGAATCTAAAATATTCCTCCTTCACCTTTAGAATAATCAATAATTTTTTTTTTCTTTTTCTCTAGTTAGGTCTACTGATAAAAAATAATCATTTTTTTTTTCTAGTTAAGTATTTAAAAACATGGTTCCAAGGCCTCATTTGGGAATATTGAATTTTACTCAAAAAAAAAAAAAATTACCAGAAAAAGTCAAAAAGTTATTCCTAAACACTTTCTATACTTTCACCTCACCCAAAAAATAAAAATATAAAAAATAAAAAATCATTATTTCCCAAACCAACCCTAAGTCTGTGCCTAGTAACTTGTTTAGACGATCATTGTCACCAGCCTAACTCACCCCACAATCCATAACTCATTGCAGCCTCATTTCCATAACCATATCAGAGCACAATTTAATGGTAACAATGTAAACATTTTCATTTCATGTTTTTGTAACAAGAGAAGAGAACATTGTTGAATCACTTAGGAATTAGAATGCCAACCAAATACTATGCCATCTGGCCAACACAGCTTATAGCAGGCCTTGACAAACATATTTTCAACACCAACTCATATAGAAATGGCCTATTTCAGCAACATTCTTCTAATCCACTAAACAGAAACCTTAACGTTGTGTTTGGTTGGGGGATTTGAGGAGGGATTTGAAAAGAGAAAATGAAAAGTTAAGTGAAATGTGAATAAAATATACCTACATTTCATCTAGTTTCACACACCTTTTCTCTTTCTCTTTCCAAATCCCTCAATCAAACACAGCATAAAGAAAACTATCAACATCTTCACAAGTTTCCTACTGCAAAATATAAACTAGTAAATACATAATTGTATGACACAAGGTTTAAAAAAAAATACATATCTTGCCAAATTTTTCTCAATTTTCTCTACATATATGACATTCTCATCCTAGCTGCCTAAACTTTTGGTGTTTCTCAGGGTTCGAGCAGTAATGATGAGATTTTGTATCGATGATGTACCTAACAAAAAAATTCCCTAAGGTGAACAGGGCTGCCCATCGGAGCTTTGGCTTGGTTGTCTCTTAGAATCACTACTCTTTCTCTTAATCATCTCCTTGATCTCGACTTCTTTCTTATCAACAAAATCAATCATGCCCTTGAAGCTAGGTGCACGCAGTAATCGCCTACGCCTAGCAGGTTCATTCTCCTCGATCTCCTGTTCCTGGCCATCAGGGTTGTACTTCTGATACTGCAAGCACAACCTACAGAAAAATATCGTAAGAGAAATGAAGCACACTACGCCGCAAATCAAGAATAGGCCCCAGAAGCTTGTGAGAGAGAGCCTGTTTGCATCAACTTGGTTGCCTTGTGGGCATGTGTTGGACGACAGCCATTTATCATGGATTCTTTGGAGATCGCCATTCTCTGACAGTTGTAGAATGGCAGTCGACATGTCAACTGCAAGAGGCGAGTCCCTCTGAAATGCCTGAGTCAAGAAATTAAACATGAAAATCACATTAGACCTTCATGAAAATATATAACAGAGATGTTATAGTGATATAAGCACTAAACTTGGGCCTGGCTAAGAAAAATATTGAATTTAGCCCATATATTTTGGCACCATTGGATAGGTTTTTTTTTCTAATTTTTTTTTTATATATTTTAATTAAATGTTCAGGATTATACAGAGAAAGTACTTACAAATCCCCATCCGCTTTTAGTAAATTCTTGTCCCACAATTCTAAATTCGCATTGGGTGTTATACAAGAAGAGCTCAACATATGGAAGCTCGTCAACAATTGCAGCTACTCCACCATTTTTCGGACCTTGGCGAAGGGCAGTTGTATATTCTTCCTGGCCTTTTAACGATCTGAGTCTAGACTCCGCTATGTTGAGCTCTTCAATCAGATAATTGTATGCAAATGATCCATCCTGAACTCCAATTGGATCGGTACTCGAGATCAAACTGTCAATCCCTTCAATCTGTGATGTGAGCTGTTGCACTGTAAGGATTGACGTCAAACTTGCAGTGTAGCTTGAATTGATAATTAACACTACAAAGAGCCATAGTATCAGCACTAAACGTCCCAAGGTGCTCACAGTGTTCTCTCCTGTGTTGAGTCAAGCAGAGAAGTATTTTAGAAGTCTTAAAGCTTGAATTTTCACAAAAGAATGTATCACTCGCTAAAAAAATTATGCGATAAAATAAGAGAAGAGAACATAAGAGATAGGCAACATACTGTGTGAGAAAAACATTGTTGAGAAACTGAACCTGCAACATTAGAAGCCATCTTAAATATATCAATTTTGTATACAAAATATTGCTACGGCATAATCTATGTTGTCATTCAGATTGATCAAAAAGGTTTTAAATATAATCTGTGGCTTTACTTAAATCAGAGGGATTTCAATGAGTTATGACATACTAACCAGAAGACTGTCATAATCTGCTGGCTTGGTGGACCACGAAATTCATGATTCAACCGATGCTCTAGAATCCAAACAACAGCTCCCACAAAAAGGAAAAAGGCACCAGTGACACACCACATTTCCACAGTAAAAGGCCTGAGGAAAGCCCAAGCACTAGATTTTGTCTGTTTGACCGGAACAAGTATGACAAGTCCGGATTCCATGAATGGCTGCGTAAAATCTACAATCTTTGTCCTGTTTGTAATAATCGTTACGTCCCCCACAGCTGCATCGTATTTCTGAAGAACGAAGAAAATCAAGATAATTACAATAACTTAAAAGAACTTTGAATAGAAATTTAACAGCAAATACTCACATTTTGGGAAACGTCATACACAAGATTGTTGTAGGAAGGTTCTCTCACACCATCACCGTATACTATATATGCGTGGGGTACAGCATAAGGCAACAAGTTCACAGCAGCTTCAAAGACGTCAATGCAGTATCCTTTCACCCCTAGAGGGCCCTTTTCTTTAGCAACAAATTGTTTATAACTTACTCGGTTAGGCACTACTATTTGCAAAGGCTTCCCATTGTTAGGGAACACCCAACCCCGAGGTTGTTTTGGAGTTTCACCGGGCCATATTACAATGTTAAGATGTTGATTACCAGTAGAAGTGTTTGGGGGCTTCGTATATAATGTTTCCGGAGCAACCACAGAAAGGCCTGAATAGTTTGACCAGTAACCTATCCTGCGAGACCCAGTCCCAGCAATGTTAAGAATATCAAATGCTGGATGAATTAAATTCTTCTCTGGATCAAATTGAATCTGACCAGATAGACCTGTGAAGTTCATTGTGAGAAGTATTTGGAGCAATTTCGGGCCTTCATCAAAAGTGCGTAACGACGCGAATTGTAGCATGCTTCCATTACTGTCGTGCAACCTAGGGTCATTGGAGAAGGAAATATTTCCACCTTCACTGAAGAAAACATCAAGTGCACGTGCAAGCAGCCAAACAGAATCATAAGCATAGAGTGCATAAGAATTGAAGCTTGTTCTCTCCTTGTTTTTCAAGTATTTCCACCTAGATGTAAAGTTGTTCTTGACATCGGACTCAGGGGTGTGATGGCGAAGCGCAATAACCCCTTGTAAGGGATCCATTATGTGCGAATCAACTAGTTCTGACGAATCTAACACCGAAGGAAGCCAATCTGTAGCGATCCAAACATAGCCAGCAGTCATCATCCCGAGAGTCTTCGCCACGGAAAAAACATTCAGACCTGTGTCAGGATTTACATGAACAACATAAACCCGAGATTCCATCAAGTTTACTGCAACTAACAAGTCATCGATGTCAGTTTTAGCAGCTCCAGGAGTAAATGCAGCCTTGTAAGAAATCTTGGCACGTTTCTTTGCAAGGGCATCGCCTAATATGGAAATCCCATTTCTTCCATAATCGTCATCAACAAAGATAGCAATTACCTCCCTCCAACCATAAAATTCAACCAAATCAGCTATAGCATACATCTGGAAATAGTCATTCTGTGTAGTGCGGAGGAAGTATGGGAATTGTAGAGCCAAAAGTGTAGGATCTGTTGCAGCGAATGACAGCATTGGTACATGAAGTTCATTCACAACATGGGAGATAACGTGTGCTATTCCAGAGGATTGTGGACCAATTACACCGACAACATCTTTCTCCATCAGCTCCAAAGCTACACAAGTAAGGATGCTTTGTCAAAATCTCTCATTTTTTCTTTGATGATTGAAAGAGAGAGAGAAAACAAGAGAGCAGCTGGTTAAAGTTTTCTTACTTTTTTTTTTTGATTGTGAAAGTTTTCTTACTTAATCCTCATTCTTGATTATTGGAAGGGGTTGTTGATCATTCATTATTAATAAATGTCAGTTGAATATAACTTTGGATGTAAAGTGCAAGAGTGATCTTCTTCACTATCTATGAGCGGGTTAATTATTGCTACTTGTAATCTATGAAAAAAAAAAAAAATGAAATCCTTTTGCCCAATTAATACCAAAACAATTAATGATTTGCTAACAGCAATGCTTTCACATTGGGATCTCTAATTAAATTAGGCAAAGTAGGGTAATGCTACAGACCCCAAAGGGTTTACCAAGTTTTCTACCAAATGTCTCAACATGGGTGTGGAACTCACATGATGCGGGTCCCATACTCATGTGAGACATTTGGTAGAAAATTTAGTAAAATTTTTGAGCAAAGTATTAATAAGATTCTACCATGAGTCATTTACTTCAGACATGCTTTTACTTCATAACAATATTAGCACCACTTCCTTGTTATACCTAAGAACCCTTGGGCATAATTTTTCTGGAATCAAGTTCAATAAAAGGACAAATGTAAACACATATTCTAAAAAGCACCAAACTAAACAAAGAGCAAACAGAAAACACTCTTATGCCAAACTCTGCATTCAACTTGTCATAAAGAATGCAAAAACAAAAAATTTAAAGCCATGAAAGACTAAAATATGCTTGATATCTCCAGCAACTTGAGTGCAGTTCTAGAACTAGATTTCTCAGAAGACTAGGAAATATACGGTGAAAAGCCATTGTAGTAATAGGGAAATAATTAAAAAAGCACATGATGCTAAACATAAAGATAACTAGTTTATACTTTTTTTTTATGACAATGAAACCTCTCCAAGGCAATGCCCCTTAGACCCACTCTTGCAATCACCCACAAATCACATAAATTGGTTAAGCCCTGGAGACACCTGCAAGAGTCGAATCCAAGACGTCCAAATTTATTGCTTGCCCAAGAGTTCGCTCTCTTAACTGTTGGGCAACCCGTGCAGATTATTAGTTTGGAAATCCCCTGCTTTGAATAAGCTAACTCCTCAAATATACAAAGGCAAACGACTGCACCATATAAAACATGTTCTGCTTCACAGAGCCAAGGGGTGTGTGTCACTTGCAAGTTAGCAACAATAGGGAATGTCTAATTTAGTTAGGCCCGAATTCAAAAACAGTTTCCACCAATTCAAGTTGAACAAATTCAGAGATTACCTTCTATGGTTCCAAGGAACCCACTGCAATTCGTATCGTGCAAAATAAGATTCAACCTCGTCCCAGAAAGCACAGTAGAATCGGAATTGACATCATCAACAGCAGCTGTAATTGCTGGCATCGCTGATCGTCCGATAACTGAATTCAATGTAAACAATGCTCCGATATTCAAAACACTCGGCCTCAAAGACGAAACAGTAGCATTACCAGTCGCACCCATGACTTCCATTGGAACCCACATACAGAACATCAACAAAATCAATGCTCTTCGAATGAACAGACTAGACTCCATTTCTATGCAAACCAGCAATTAACCCTTTTGAGGCCTCAGCTCAGATTACCATTGTGTCAAAAAATCAAACACCTGGAAACACATGTAGAGCATGAAATTGAAGCTTACAATAAAGAGATTGGAGATAGAGGATCAAGATTACCCAATTGACATTGACCCTTAAACTCTCATAACCCGAGTCAAAAAAACAAACAATATAGCGAGATTCATGCGCAGAAAACAACTGAAACACATTCATACAATAACATTAAATTTGAAACCTAGCCTTGAGCAACTTGGGTACTAGGTATCCGTACCCACATGGGGAACAAGCAAAAATTTCACAAGAACATAAGAGTATTCAACATGGGAATAATCAAATTCACAGAATTTTAGATACCCATTATTGTATAATTATTCATGGTTGTATAGATAAGTACATACATATATAGGTAGATATTTATAAATATATTAAAAAAACCAAACAAGCTGAAGAACCAGTGTTCAACTGCATTGAAGAACCCACATGGATGAATTAATAAATGGAAAGACAGTGATAGTAATTATAAAATAAATGAGAGATTCTGAGAAGTAGTTGGGTAGATGGTGGAAAACAAGATTACCTGTGAAACCCATCTAGGGATTAAGCTTTGAACAGTTTGTGTCCATATATACACATGTATATATACATATAGGTCTCATCAAGACATGAATAAAATTACAAAAAAGAAAAGAAAATAAAAGAAAAGAAAAGAAAGAGAGCTCCAAAAGGTCATAATAGTCTCGCAAGTAAAGAATCATTCTCCACTGATTTTTATTCACTTCACACATTAGCTTTTGTTGTTGAATAAACTGACACAAGTGAGTTTTACATACTATTATGGTAGAAAAATGAGAATGAAAAAAAAAAGAAAAAGTAATGGGATGGTTGAGATTAGTCCTTGTCAGCCATAGATGCGATTGGTCTGGACAAACCTTCATCATGCATGGCAACTGTCAGTGTGAAACACGTGGATTTCTTGTTCCTACGCATTTAATGGATAAATTACAAATAGGCATTTAAAGGATAAATTACAAATACATTTTTAAGTTTGATTAAAATATGAATGACCTTTATAATTTTAAAAATTACATTTCATCTTTTAAAATTTTTAATTTCAAAACAGATCGCTCCATTTATTAATAAATTATAAAATCAATTAACAGTTTTTAATGATGTTAAAAATATGTTTCAATTAATAATTTAAGAAATTTTATTATTGTATAGGAGAGTAATTATGAATTTCATTTTTTAGTTAATTTTGTAAAGTAAAAAAATTCTAATAAGGAAGTATTTGTAATTTTTCAAATCACAAAAAACAATTTATATTTTAAATAAAGCTTAGAGTGTGTATTTATAATTTTTCCCATCTAAAAATATCTAGTAACTTGCTGATGATAGAATAGATTTCAAGGTTAACATGGTTCAATTTGGATGGATGAGAATGGAATCAAGATCAATTTATTATATACGATTTTATAAAAATTGAAATTAAATAAAATTATTAAAATTATGAAATCAATTCAAACTAAACTATTTAAACTACAACAATGATAGAGATCACTAATTTTGGAGCTCTAAAAAGACCACTAATGACATGACACTCAATAAAAAAAGAAAAAAAATACAACACCAAGGCCAAAACATCAAATCATTCCTGGTGGGGCCCACTGCCACATTAGTGATAGCACTAATTAGTGCTCTCACTCATTTTCCATATACATATAGGTCTCATCAAGACATGAATAAAATTACAAAAAAGAAAAGAAAATAAAAGAAAGGAAAAGAAAGAGAGCTCCAAAAGGTCATAATAGTCTTGCAAGTAAAGAATCATTCTCCACTGATTTTTATTCACTTCACACATTAGCTTTGTTGTTGAATAAACTGACAAAAGTGAGTTTTACATACTATTATGGTAAAAAATGAGACTGAAAAAAAAAGAAAAAGTAATGGGATGGTTGAGATTAGTCCATGTCAGCCATAGATGCGATTGGTCTGGACAAACCTTCATCATGCATGGCAACTGTCAGAGTGAAACACGTGGATTTCTTGTTCCTACGCATTTAAAGAATAAATTACAAATAGGCATTTAAAGGATAAATTACAAATACATTTTTAAGTTTGATTAAAATATGAATGACCTTTATAATTTTAAAAATCACATTTCATCTTTTGAAATTTTTAATTTCAAAACAAATCGCTCCATTTATTAATAAATTATAAAATCAATTAACAGTTTTTAAGATCGTATTAGACTATTATTTTTCAGTCTGAAATATTAATAAATTAGGTTTGAAATCTATACTTTAATTGATTTAGACGGGGCAACTTATTATTTATTTATAATATATTAAAAAATATATATATATATTTTTGAGTTTAGATTTTATCTCTAATGATTTTATTAAAACTCACATTTCTTGTAATGCGTGATTAAATTTAATTGTGAAATATTTTAACTTTTTTTAATATATAATTCAATAAGTGAGCTTTTGAATCAGATTTAAACAGATATAGAACCCGTCCCAAACGCATTCCAACCCGACGTTTGTTCACCACTATTATAGGGTATTCATGTGCTACCACGAACCAACTATCATCTTTTTTTATTTGGTTTTAATTTTTTTAAATTAAAATTAATTTGATAATTAAAATTAAAATTAAAATTAAAAGACTCATTATTTTTGTATAATTTTATTTGTTTTAGAGGAAAAAATTGAAAATTTTAAAAAATTATGTATAAGTTTATTTATTTTCATCAAATTAATTTTTATGTATTTAAAAATATATGTATAACAAATCAAAAAAATGTAATCAAATAGAGTGAATAAGTTCGGCTATTAAAAAAAATAGAGTGAATAAGTTTACAAGTAGAATTGATCATATCTAAGAAATAAGAAAATTAATATTAATATTTTTTAATATAATAAATTTTACGTGGACAAATTAAGTTATTATATTAAAAGAAAATGATATTCAAATAGAATGATGGGTAAATGACATTCTTATAATTATGAAAAAAAGGATGAAAATTTTGATTTTTAAATAATGAATATAAATAAGACACATCATTTATATTGATTTAATATATATATATACACTATATTTATACAACATTATCATTAAATAAAAACTTTAAAAAAATGTATAAATTATCTAAAGATACATAGCATTGGTGTGTCAATTTAAATTTTATTGATTTAAATAATATATTTTATTATTTCATGTTATATTTTAAAAAATAATAAAATAATTATCACAAAATAAATAATGTGAAACGTTATTATTTGAAGAACCCGAAGTAAGCTCCCCTAGGTGAAGTCCATAAAACGACATTAGACGAATGGGGTTAAAAGTTATGGCAGAGCAGTCTTGTTATGAGGGCTTATATAGGTATTTATTGAGTGTATTTTAGTAATCTGAACTATTTATATTATAAAGTTTGTTAAGTATATTACTTATATAAAAAAATCAAGTTAATTGGACATCCAAAATCTCATGAAAAGTCATTATGAGGCGACAGATGTCTAATTTACTTATTTTTTTATATGAATAATCTACTCGATATATCTTATAATATAAAAAGTTCGAATCAACGAAAAAGACTAAAAATATGCCCTCAATGAATCTCACAACAAGACTAAAAATATGCCCTCAATGAATCTCACAACAACTTATGCCTTACCACGCCGCAGAAATCCCAATTTCGAAAGGGCGGGTCAAGCACTCCAATTTCGAAAGGTCTTTTTCAATTTTGGAACATTAAGGGCAAGTTTGGGAAGATCCAAAAATGCCAAAAAGTCAAAAAGTTACTCAAAAAGTTAAAAAGTTAACACTATTCACCAAAAGTCAACAATTACGGCTGCACAACTCCTAATTCAAATTTTTCCCTAAAAATCAATTTTTACAATTTTTTATTACACATTTTTCCATAAAAAGTCAAAAAGTTAACCCAAACATCCATATTTTCAACATATTTTCAACCTCAATTTTTTAGTCCAAAAAGACAAAAAGTACACTTTTTTAGTCTTCCCAAACTTGGCCTAAGAGTCAATTCAATCTTTTATGTATGTATAACCAATTTCTCAAACAGTAGTTTACTTCGACACTAATCCCAGACAAAGTCTTTTGATATATTTTCAAATTGACTAATTGATTCAAATTGAGAAGTGTACTAAAATTATTAATTTTAATATTGAAATATTTGTTACTTTTTTAAAGTATACATGTAGATAAAATTTAAAAAAAAAAATTAGATAGAAAAATTAAATTAACTACATCAAAGTGTAAATTTAAAATTATAAAGACTAAAATAAAATTTGAATCAAATTAAAAAAAGTAAAAAGTGTAATTAACCCATCATTTTAATAGGATAAGAAAAATAATATCAAATTAATGAAAAACTTTACAACATTGCAAAAAAAAAAGTTCACAAACTTTACAACTAGATTAATATTATTTTTTGTACTTTCTATCAAAATGATATTTTTCTCAACTTTGCTTCTTTATTGTACTATAGATTGAATTTCTTAAGGAAAAATTAGTTTAACATCTCTATTCAAATTTTATTAGTGGAAGAGATTCACAATATATTTTTTTGTAGTGTTAGGTTCTCATATCCATCACACATAATTACATACATCAAATTTCTTCTAAACCCTCTCTCTCTCTCATAGTATAACAAAGCAAAAAATCAAACCAGCAATAGTTCTATGGATGGACAAACATTTAGAACCTCCAATTGAAAATGAGATAGCCGTACTTCCGTGACTTCGTTGTTCGTTGTTCTAATGGAGTTGATTTCGAGTTGTTCTTTGTTCTTTATTCGTTGATTTCAATTTGATTTGTGTAAGGCTTCTAATCTCACATTAGCTTTTTGATTCCGATTTATGGTTTTCATTAGATTTTTTATTTTAATTTGTGATTTGGGGATCGCATTTTTGTAATTTTGTTGAGATTTTTGTTTTTGAAACATTATTCGGGTTAATTTCGAGTTGATTTGCAGTAGACATGTCCGTTGTTCATTAATTTTGAGTTGATTTGGCTAAAGAAAATCACAGAAAAGAGTATGTGATTTGGCCAGAGAAAATCAACAAATTTCTCTAGTCATCACACAAAGAAATTTCGCCCGATCTTTTAAAATATTCACTGTAAAGGTAGAGAAATCCCAATACAGAGAAAATCAACATGCCAAAGAAAATTATATACATCAATTTTAATTTGATTTGCAGTAGAAGTGTTCGTTGATTTTCAAAGAAATTTAGACCGATCTTTTAAAATATTTCTGTGATTTTCTTTAGCCAAATCAACTCAAAATTAATGAATAACAGACATGTCTACTGCAAATCAACTCGAAATCAACCCGAATAATGTTTCAAAAATAAAAATCTGTAAAGGTAGAGAAATCCCAAGACAGAGAAAATCAACATGCCAAAGAAAATTATGTACATCAATTTCAAGTTGATTTGCAGCAGAAGTGTTCGTTATTTATTGATTTCGAGTTGATTTGATTAGAGAAAATTACAAGTGGAAGCATGTGATTTGGCTAGAGAAAATCAACATGAGAAAGGAAAGAAAATCAAATTTCTCTTGTCATCACACAGAATTTATCATAGTCTTTCAAAATGTTCACTATAAAGGCAAAAAAATTTATGACAAAGAAAATTAACATACCAGAGAAAATTACACACACACAACTAGCTTGAAGAAGAAACTCAAAGGGGGAGTAGTAAGTTCCAAAGAAAATTAACAAGTACAAGGAGAATTTTAGAGAAATTTCATGTTTCAAAAGGATATCTTAATGCCAGATAAATTGTAAAAAAAATCAACATGCCAGAAAAATTTCATTTTTACAAATTTCTCTAACTATCACACACAAATTCGAGAGTCTAATATGATCAGAAAAATTTCAAATGCCGGAGAAAATTTTGCACGCACACACACACCTGCCAAAGTTATGTCATATATGTATATTTGTTCATATGAGTTCGTCATTATACTCAATTTGACTACTCTAGTGGATAAACTCAAATTCAAGCATAAATTTGAGTAAGAGCATTTTTAATCTTCAATCTCTTTTTGTATATGTGTTTGTTGAACGTTGCCTGAAATTTCTCTGTAAATTTTTTTTTTTCTAATTTGGTTAAAACACAGAGAAATTTATGAGCAAATTAGAAAAAATTAGTCAAATACACAGAGAAAATTGTAAGCAAATTACAAAGAAATTTGTGAGCAAATCATAAAAAATTCAACCCAGAAAAATTTCAAAACACAAAAAATCAGAAAAGTTGAGCAAACCAGAGAAATTTCAAACTAGAGAAAGTTCAAAATACAAAGAAAAACAATGGTTACTTCAAAAATCTTAATATCTGGAAATTTCTTTGGGTTGAAATTTTTCTAGATCGAAATTTCTCTAGAAAAATATTGAGAGACCCCAACCACTATGAAAATATTATATATCTTTTATGTTATAAAATCTTAATATCAGGACCTTAAAAAAAAAATTCATTTTTTAATTTTTTTCCCCTCCACAACATAATTTTTTTTTTAAAAATGGACTCTTCGAAAAGACAGAATATTGAAGTGTAAAATGACATTCTACTTGGAGTCACCCGCGAAGTGTAAAATACACACATAAATACACTTTCACACCCTGTCCAAACTAGTGAAAAAATCAAAAATAGTGTTTTTAAAACTTTTATATTTTTCTTAGTCACACCATGGCAACTTTAAAATATAAAAATCTCTGAGTTATAATCACGGGATTGTAATTACACCTAGGGACAAATAACATAAATGTTGGGACCCAAGATTCCACACTGGTAGGGAATGAGGTTGATGGGTTCACTCACTTCATTGGGTGAAAGGGTTGTTGGGTGCCTAATTTCACTCTGAATTTGCAACCAGACCCAGCATCAAAGTCATCCAATAGCAAATTTACCATGACTCTGGGCTACCCCACTAGTCATTTTTCCCATGGAAAAAAAAGAAGGCAAAACGAAAAAGACAACTTAACCCACAATTACAGAGAGGGAAAAATAAAGGGAAAATAATGGCACAGTGGTGTAAAAAAATTTATAAATTATTGTTAAAATTTATACACTTTAATAATTAAAATGTTATACTTTTTCGCTGATATGTAAAAAATTTCTCCGCTGCCCCACAGACAAATTCCCCCAAAAATAAAAGCAGGACCAATTCAACCATCTAGATGTCTCTCTGTTGTCTCAATGATTTGAAGGCTCAATAGCATATGTTTGAGCTTTTCATAAGATATTTCTGAGATTATGGAAGGAGGTTTATGCTAAAACTATAGAAAAATAAAATTTAATGTAAATCTAGAATCGTTCAAAATGTAAATTTTATAATGTAAGAGTAAAATTTAAATTACACATTATTTTTCTTAATATATTTTTATTTTTGTATTTTTATGTATTAAGAATCACACATTTGTAGTGATAGTATGGAGCTATGAGGAAAGTATATGAACTTGGGCATTGACTCAGTCCAAAGAACGTATGTGGACATGTAAACAAAATTATCCTTGTACATGTATTTGATGTATGATTATGTCAGAAAATAATAATTTCCACATGTATAGCACTAGAAATTGGGCACACATGTGTTGCTTGTGCAGAAATAGAAGGCAATTCTGTTTTTAGAGGAACACAAATTAAATGTAGATGGAGAAAAAACATGAAGAAAAAAAAAATCAAAATATAAAATTTAAAATTAGAAAATGGGCAATTACATAGAGGCAATTTGGGGATGTAAAAATGTGTGATGTATAGGAATTCACACCAAGTGAGTTGTATAATTTATATATCAGAATAGAAGTGTGTATGTATAAGCAAGAAAAAATAATTGATACTAACCTTTTTTTATTGTCGTACGTTGTATTGTTTGAGTCAATACTATTCTTGAATCCCTCTCAAAAAACTTACGATATTGTTTTTTCACTCTTTAGAGATAAGTAGCTTGAAAAATTACTAAACTTGATGTCACAGGCCATATAATTACTAGGTCAAGGACCATTATCAAAACTAATCATATCAATTTCCTTTTGAAAATATTATCTGATAATAAGTGAAGTTACAGATAGGGCTTAGCTAAATTTCTGCTAAAGTCCTTAAAGGAGTGGACAAGTATCACAATTATCACATTCAATTAAATAATCAAATAAACAAACAATATACTATATATTAAATACATGTAGCCATGTGGGCCACATTAATAGGCCTAGTTTACACTGGCTTACATATCTTCACAAATAAATTATAATGTTATCATAAGCATATTTGTCTATCATTAAATATTTATTAGCATATTAGCTAAATATCTGAACAAGAACACAATGAAATCAGAGAATGTTATTAGATTAATAAAATTATATGTTTGACAACAAGATGCATACATGATTCATAGTAACATTTTGTATTTTCAGTAACTTTCATCATCTATAGAACTAGAATTCAGGTGCACCAAATCCTAAAATTGATATAAAAATACAAGACAATCCCTTTAAGCCCTATTGAATAAAATGTACATCATTGATCAGCACACCTGAGGAGGTTGAGCATTACCATGCTGAGTAACACTTTTTTTGATAGCTTCTTCTTTCTCATCAATGAAGTCAAAGAAGTTATAAATGACCTTAGAACACGGAGTACTCGTTGATGCAGAGGATGAGGGAGAAGAAGGTTCCATCAGCTTCCGTTTGTATCGGATATATTGGCGAATAGTTCGTAGAAAAAAGACTAGCAAAGCGGTGAGAGTAAAAACGCCACACAGAAGATAGAGAGCCCAGAAACTGCTCATTTGGAGCTCATTAGGCTCTGGGGTTTTTCTTCTGTCTGCTGCACAACCTGCTTTACAGAACCAGTTGTCATGTATCTCCTCAAGTCTTCCGGTCTCAGCAAGCTTGAGGATCGCCGTGGACATGTCATAGGCAAGTGGAGAGTCTCTCTGAAAAGCCTGATTATATTATAATGAAGACATTTAAATCTAAACACTATCACACAGCAATTCTAGATATAGAATGTGTATGCGTTAATACGTGTGCAACCATGTATCTGTTTGTAAATGAAAGTACTTACAAATCCCCATCCACTCCTTGTGAATGATTGCCCAACAATTCCAAAATCAGTCTGCTGTGACAGAAACAATTCGACATATGGAAGTTCATCTACAATAGCTGCCACACCTCCATTGCTTGGTCCTAGCCGCAATGCTTTATCATATTCTTCTGGGGAGCCCAGAGAAATGAGTCTTGATTGAGGTATGTAAAGAATTTCCGTCATATAGCTATAAGCAAATGACCCCACTTGATAACCAATAGGCCAATCACCTGCAATCAAGCTGTCGATTCCTGTGATGGATGATGATGAGAGCTGCTGGACTGTAAGGATTGAAGTCAAGCTTGCTGTGTAACTCGATGTGATCACCATCAAAAGGAAAAGCCAAACCACCATTACCAACCTTCCAAGTGTGCTTACTGTATCTTCTTCTGCGAAATAAAGTAATACTGTCTTAGGCCTCGTTTGGCAAGTGGCTTTTTTAGCCAAAAATCCAAAAAGTCATTAAAAAATTCAAAAAGCTAACAACTTATACCAAAAAGTCAAAGATTTCATTTTCTCTCTACTTTTTGCACATCTTTTCATAAAAAACAAAAAAATCATTCCAAACATACTAGTTTTTTTACATCATATTTTAACTAAAAAGCCAAAAAGTTACTAAAAAAACTTATTCCCAAACGAGGCCTTAGTGTTGGTCCCAAAAGTCCAAATCCTTGATAAAATCAGAATGGTGCACCGCATTCAAAGAAATTTCCACATTCTTTTACTTTTGTTATAGGGAAGCAAAATTATTGCAAAAGAAATAGAAATGATACCCAAAAAGATGCAGGAGAATTATGAATATGGAAAAATGTGAAAAATGTTGTCGGTCTCACAAGATAGATTTTTCGTGAATAGATGTTTTCCAGTGCATAACAAATTGTGATGGTGCAGGCAAGATTACAAGACAAATCAGATTTGCTGAGATGATTTTTGGTGCTAAACTTTACATTTTCCCTTTGACAACAATAACTCCATGAATTAAAATATTAACCAAGTGCTTATCTTTGACTTTGTGATCTATAAGTAGCTATTCTCCTAATTATTCTAAATATGACTACATTTTAAGAATGGAAAAAAGAAGGAAGTTTTGAAAATAAATCATGACTAGTTAAGAATTTCACCTAAAACAATGCAATCATTGATTCGGGTTTAAATATACTTCATGCATTGCTTACTTAAAAGATAACCACAGGCTTCTCCTGATGTTTTGAAAACTTAGTTTTAAGCTCAATCGAAAGGCTTTAGGAACAAAGACAGCAAATGAAAGATTCCTTAAGCTCATCTGATCACTGCTCTCTATGATAGATGATAGAAGCACACATTATAGATAGAAAACAAGTAATCAGGATAGATTGTCAGAAGTGTACGTACGATTTTTCTTGAACAGAGTTGAGAAGCTGAACCTGCAACATAAATGCTTGGAAATTAAGTTCTCTTGGTTGATGTAGGGTCCGTTTAGACGCAGGTTCAAAGTATCAAACAGTTCACCAAAAATATAGATATGGTGATAGCATTAAAAACTTCATAGACTGCAATGACTATTTACAAAATGAACAACCAAAAATGAAGAAGAAAGTTCTTTTAAACATCAAGGAAGCTTACAGAAACATTGTTATGATCTGTCTCCTAGGAGAACCCCGGAAATCATCGTTGACACGATGTTCAAGGATCCAGATAACCACTGCAATCATCACAAAGGAAGCTGCAGTGACGCACCACATCTCTACTGTAAATGGTTTGAGAAACACCCAAGCAGTTGATTTTGAGTCACTGATGGGAGCCACTATGACGAGACCTGTGATAGCATAAGGCTGAGTAAAATCAACAATCTTCGTCCGGTTTGTCACAATTGCAATGTCCCCAACAACTGCATCAAAGACCTGACAGTGTGTTTCGAAAGAATAATCAAGGTATGCTCATTTGAAATTAATCACTAATAAATCTGCTAATACCATAGAGTTTAAGCCATGGGACCTTACAGGTTTAGGATCAAAGTCTACGAAAAGTACACTATTTAACAATTAAAAGAAATGGTATGCCAAGCGAAAAAGAAGACGATATAATTGGGATTGATCCAACCATCCCCAAATAGTTCATTACCATCCCTTTAATCTGATTTAGCATATTATGCTTAATCTGCAAGCTTATGTTATCTTTATTACTAATGGAAGCCCATACATATTACTTACATCGTCTGCAACCTTCTTCACAAGTTCATTATAATTGGGATTGGACTGACCATGCCCAAATGGCTCAAATTTGAAAGGAATGTCATACGGGACTAGCTTTCGGGCTTCGTTAAACACATCTATGCAGTAACCTTGTATTTTGTGGCTGCTGTGTGATTCTGTCACAAATTCAACAAAACTGGCTCTATTTGGTACTCCAATTCTCAATGGTCTTTCGTTGCTGGCAACCACCCACCCACGTGGCTTTTCTGTTGTCCCGCCAGGCCAGGTAACATTGTCAAGATTCTGATCTGGATGGGAATGGTTAATTTGTTCCTCTTTGAGAGTTTCTGGTGGTAGAGTAGAGAGACCTGAAAAACTAGACCAATAACCTACCCCATGAATTGCCATCTGTGCAATGTTAATGACATCATAATCACTGTTCACAAGGTTCCGATCTGTGGTAAATTGAATTTGCCCTGTCAAACCAGTGAAATTTGTGTCCTTCAATTTTTTTAATAGAACTTTACCACCATCAAAAACTTTGAGCTTCCCAAGTTGTGTTTCAGTTCCTTTTTCATTGTGTAGCTTGTCAGTGAAAGAAAATGTCATATTGTTGTGCTCGTTTAAAAATTTATCAATTGCATGTGCAACTGCCCACACTGTATCATATGCATAAAATCCATAAACATTCAATTCAGAATGTATTAACCCATTCTTCTGCATTTTTCTCCATCGAGATAGAAAGGCCTTTTTTTGGACGGTTTGTGGGATATGCTGACGAAGCCCAACTACCCCTTCAAGGATTTTTAAAGAAGATTGATTTTCTGTGGAGAATGTATCTAATGTAGCAGAAAGCCAATCCGTTGCAAGCCACACATAGTTACCAGTCATCATATGAAGTTTTTGAGCAACAGTAAAGATTCTCAATCCCGGGTCTGGATTAATATGAACAACATAAACACGAGGTCCAAGCAATTTGGACTTGTTGAGCAGATAAGTTAAATCGCTGAGATCATATTGGGTAGGCAAAGTCAATTTAAAAGAAACTTTTGACATTTTCTTTGCAAGCTCATCATTCAAAGCAGATATTCCATTTCTTCCATACTCATCATCCACAAAGATGGCAATAACCTCTTTCCATCCATAAAAGTCAATCAAATCAGCCATGGCTGCCATTTGGTAAGAATCACTTTGTGTAGTTCGGAAAAAGTAGGGGAATTGAAGGGCAGACAGAGTCGGATCAGAGGCAGCATAAGAGACAAGTGGGACTTGGAGACCATTAGCAATCAGAGAAATCATATGAGCTATTGAAGAAGACTGTGGACCAATTATTGCCACTACTTCCTTCTCAATTACCTGAAACGCTGACAAAAGAAATGCAATAAAGGTATTGAAGCTGGCAAGGAGAACAGAAATCCAGCATTCTGACCACGTAATTCATCTCTGGAAATTTGAAAATAATATTTATTTGAGAGAACTATTTACTTGCTTTTGCCAAAGAATGGTTTAATACATAATTAAACCAAGTAGAGTTCTCTAACAGGCTACCTCGCTAAAGTACTGTCTTCACTGTCTTCTTATGTACTATGAGGCACGGACACTTCAAATTATTAACAGTAACCGTGTCTGACACATGTAGGACAGCGACATGCCTCGGACACTTCAATGGAAACTTCTAGGATACATTTTTGAAAAGTTTTAAAACTCTTGCACAATTACAATGTGGTAAAAACTCCAAAAAAGCACACTTCTTATAACTCTTATAATTATACACTTAACAAATAATAATTTATGTCATTTTTCATCCTCTAAAATCTTAATTTCCAACAATAATATACTTGTTCTAATAATATTCTGCTTTCTCACACAGGTAACTTCACAAGCCAGCATAACATGAAATTTGTGAAAGGAAAACACAATAAAATATAGTATAATTTTTTATTTTTTTAAAAAAAAAAGTTGATGGATCGTTAAACCGACAGTCTTTGTTTCCAAAGTAAGATGGTTTAGGCTCTGCTAGGACTTTTGCAAATTAAAGAGGGCTCAATTTCCTTTCTCTCATTTTCCAAGAAACAAATGAAGAGAAAAATGAAAAACTAATCATAGAACAATAATATGATTTCCACAAATTTGGTTAAGTTCATCTTTATTTTAAATCAAGAATTTTATTTCACTTCACTTACACAACAACATTAACTAATTAAGTAGAATCTTAAAAACAATTAACACCAATTAGAGAGGAAGAGAGGGTTACCTTCAATGGACCCCATGAATACACTGCAATTTGTATCCTCCATAATTAACTTCAATTCAGTCCCACTGAGAATTCTCGGATCGGCATTGATATCGGAGGCCGCGGCTTCCATGGCGGCCTTGGCAACTCTGCCGATGACCGAATCGAAACTGAAAATTGCTCCAACATTTACAACAGAAGGCCTTTCACAGTACACAGAGCCACCAAGAATGATCAATATAAAAAGGGTCTGTGGTATCATCACAGTGAATTTCATGGTTTGAAGCTTGAAAACTAATTAGTACAGAGTAAAATCAATGGTGAATCAAAACCCATTTGCTTATGAGGGGAGATTTAAGTCCTCTCTAAAGTTTGATTTTCAGAGACTTGTATAATTTTCTATAACCTGCAAATGAAAGGTATTTCAGAATCATGATCACTGAAATGCCCAGTTTTTAGTGGAAACATGAAGTGAAGGGTACTTTGTATTAGGTGAGGAAAGTAATTGACAGTTTTAAGAGTGGGATGTGGAGAAATTGAAGAAGGTAAATGCAGAGTAATGAATTGTGGTGTTGATTTTGGTTTTGTGGAAGAATCACATTTTTAGAGAGAGAGAGAGAGAGAGAGAGAGAGATGTTTTGCTAACTTCCAAATCATAGCATCATGCATGTATCATATGTAAGATGGGAAATTCTAATATACACCTTAATTATATTATTATTATTATGTTTTATAATTATGACTATTTTTTTTTAATTTGTGATATTATTTTAATTATGACTCGTGAGTTCCTTAGTTATATTTCATGTTATATTTACTTAAAACATCTTTTTTTTTTTGAAGTTATGAATAAAAAAATTAAAATTATGTCATTTTTCTTTTTAACTCTAAATAAATAATTGTCAAACCACTTTAATGATTGGTGTTTAAAGTTTGTAAGGAATTAATTTTACATGGGAACCATTACCGTATGCACCTTATAACTAAATAAGAAAATAATATAATTTTATATTTTTTAAGTCATAATTAAAATGAAAAAAAAAGGGGTTTTTTTTTTAAGCTCCCTAATAATAACAATTTTCTGCATAAAGGACATTAAAAGATGTAATACTGCCTCAGGTCCCTAACCAAAGTACCCGCGCATTTTATCAATTTCTTGGACCAAAATACCCTACGTCTGTTCGTCTTCAAATGAGTTGATTTTTTCCCAACTAAATACACAATGTGCTTAATTTTTCAATTGTTTTTATTATATTTTTATTTTTATTTAAAATTATCAAAATGCATTCAAATTTCAAAACACAAAAGTTTCTCCTTCCACTTACCCCCTTCTCTATCTCCACCGGAGCACCATTTATTATCGCCATCACCCCACTTCTCTTCATCGACCCCCACCATGTTCAAACCCCTAAATCCAAGGTGAGGATTGTGATGGCGGTGGGTTGCGAGATAGGGGTTGCGATGGTGGTGGCTCGCAGAGGTAGAGACTGGCGGTGGGTTGGCGGTCATGGATAGCGGAGGATTGCCAAGTAGTGGTCATGGGATAGTGGTCGAATGTGGAGGAAGTGGTGGCCAGTGGTGATGGTCGTGAGATTAGGGCTTGAAAAAATTGAAGGGGGAGTAAAGAGAAGAAAAAATGATAGGGATTAGGATTAGTTGGTAATTATCCCGTAAAACGTGCAACTAGAAAAATAATGTAAAGAGATAAATTGATAATGTAAGTATAATTACCTAAATTTATATTTTATTACATTTTAATATTTGTTAATTTATTTAATTTTTGTTTAAGCCTTCGGAAAGTGAGTTGGTTTTTTGACTTTTTAATTTTTTTGACTATTTGAGCCTGGGCTCAAAAGTTTGGTTTGGGAAGGACTTTTTGGCTCTTTTGACTTTTTTGATTTTTTTTTTTGTGAGAGAAGAGAAGAGTGTAATAATTATAGGTTGGATGTGATATTTTGTCTATTATGACTAAAATAACCTATTCTGTCTTTTGTGTTTGATAGGACACTAAGTAAACTAGCAATCAAAATTGCAAAATCAAAATTGCTATTTTTTTTGGAAAATCTTGCAAAATCTTGGAAATCTTGTAATTTTCGATTGCTAGTTTAAGCCCCGTTTGGGGATTTACTTTTTTAGTCAATTAGCTAAAAAGTTACTAAATTAGTCAAAAAGCCAACAATTCATACAAAAAAGTCAAAGATTTTCTTTTCTCTCTACTTTTTGCACATCTTTTCGTAATTAGCCAAAAAGTCATCCCAAACATACAAGTTTTTTTTACCTACTTTTTTAGCCAAATAGTCAAAAAGTTACTAAATTAGCTTGTTCGGCCTAATCGAAATTGTAAACTAACATAATTAGCCTAGCAATCGAAATTGCAAAATCTTGGAAATGTATTTTTTTTTTCTTCCTATTTTTGCCCCTCCCCTCTTGTTCTTTGTCTTCCCCCCTTCCTAGTCCTTGCCCCACCGCCAACCACCATTCCTTTACTTCCCCAGGATTGGCCATCTTTTTCCCACTCTCCCACGCCACTATTAGTTGATAGGACACTAAGTAGGTGTTTGAAATAAACTAAGGCACCGTTTGGGAAGGTGGATTGGAGGTTTTTTTGGCTATTTTAACCACAAAAGATAAAATAGGCTATTTTAGCCACAACAAACAAAACATCACATTCAATCCATAATCATTGCACTCTTCTCTCACAAAAAAAGTCAAAAAAGTCAAAAAACTAAAAAGCCCTTCCCAAACCAAACTTTTTAGCCCAGGCTAAAATAGCCAAAAAAACCAAAAAGCCAAAAAGCCAACTTACTTCCCAAACCAACCCTAAAAAAGTGTATTTTTTTTACTTACATATATTTATTTAGGTTACATTAATCAATATTTCTTATTTATTTTTTTACATATATTTTTAAAAAAAAAAAATTAAAAAATACCCTTATTTAAAATATCTCAAACAACAACTAAATAAATAATTTAATTATGAGTGCTTTCCTTATAAAGGAAAGGAGTTGGTGCTTAAAAGTGATTTCTTTTGGCTCTTTGATAGGAAGATTACAACTTTTAGCCAAAACCAATGAGAGATTGTAAATATTAAAGCAAGATAAGAATGGGAATGTGAATGACCCAATTGAAAGTAGAACCATATCCACTGTGCATTGTCCAAATATATCTAATAGGTTGTAGACAAAAAAAAAAAAAAAAAAAAAAAAAACAAAACAAAATAAAATATTTGATTGGTGATTTTAAGAGCATCTCCTTTAAACAGGTTCACGTGAAAAAGAAATAACATCTTTTCCTAAAAAAAAAAAGAAAAAAGAAAAAGAAATAGCATGTTAATCTTTTGTCATATGAATTTCTTTACATGTATGTATCTAAAATGCATATTTGTGGGTCTTTGAAAGTAGAAACTACACAAATGGAGTTCTTTCCATCTTCACGAAGATGGGGCCCCAAAAAAATAAAGAAAAAGAAAAGGGGCAGTGCTAGTGCATGCCCTAATTTTCAACCCTATAAGTTGGACCTTGTGAATACCTCTTCAATTGAACGTGAACCCCAAAAAAATCTATAAATAAAATTTTAAAAAATACTAATGAAGATAATAGGAGATTACAATATTTACACCCATATTGTCCTTTGGGAATGTGGTGGTAGATTTGATTATTGCAAAATTCTTGCAAAGCATTCCATTGCATGAACACAAATTTCCTTGTTCAAAAGAGATTACATTGCCCTCATATTTTACTATCAATTATTGTTTTTTTTTCAAAACTTTGAAGTAAAATTAGCATTTGTGCTGATCAAATATTCAGCTGCAATGGTTCTCATAATTAATTGTAGTTGGAAAATTAGGTAGGCATAAAGCTCTAATTCGATCAAGCAATAACAAATTTGAGAACCAAACAAATTTATACTGAAATAGGCAGGGAATTCAGAACTTACACTTTTCCTTTTAATTTTTTTTTATTACTTGGTCAATTTAGTGATGACGAACATCTTTAACAAAGCAATTGAATTGTACCTTTAGTCCAAAGAGTTAAATTTCTAATAGGATTTGGCTCTAAGCCGAGTCTAGTTAATGAGCCTAACAATTGCACTAGCCTACAACTCCTCTTACAACTTCATTCTAGTTGACTTGGAGAGAATAATTGCTATAAAAAGAAGTATCCAATTTTAATTCTATTCTTTATTTTTCTCACATTTTTCTTAGATCCTCAAAAGAAAAGAAATAAGAAAAAAATAGCAAAAACTGAAAAAAGAAAAAGAAAAAGAAAAAGAAAAAGGGGGTAATATGGGAGATATCATCAAGTATGAGGAGCAATTGGGTTATTACGCGAAAAGTCCGTAGCGGATAACAGTCGATTAGATAGGCCTTTTCATCGATTACCAGAAAGAGGGTTCACAAACCTTCCCAGTGAGCTCAAGCTCCGAACCTATGAACAATGGCTTCTTCAATCACAGCTTCTTTTCAAACCGGGTATGGGTTCTAATACTCCTTTCTTTCTAACCTCTTGTATCATACATATGTCTGTAATACATTGTGTATTGTTGAATATGGATGTGTGTATTAATTGGGTCACTCCAATATCATGATTCTGAGATGGGTCTTCTTGATTTGAACAGTATCGGGGATTTTTTTTTAGTTTTAGTTTTGATACAATGAAATGTTGTTGTTGGGATTTGTTTGGTGGTGTTCAATGCGTGTAAATTTTAGTTTAATCTAAATTTACGGCATTGAATTCCGCACAAGGTAGCTCAAAGTGCTCCGGTGAACTGGGATAGCCTGCGAAACAAGGAACAATAGGTTTACCTCTTCAATGCTTAAGTAAGAAAGGGAGAGAGAGTGAGGTAGAGAGACAAAGCCAATTAGGGTTTGGTATACTTAGCAGCGGAGAAGATAGAGCCCTTTCGCTATAGAGAAAGCTAATTAGGGTTTGGTATACTTGGCATATTTGTGAAGCAATTCGTTACGCACATGTGAGACATCTTTTCTCTATCTTAATTCGTTACGCACATGTCAGTTAACTTGGCCTTCTTCTGACTTGCAACGTCTTGGTTGGCCTTAGAAGATTTCACAACCAAGGAAGGCCCAAAGTTGCCTGGTCCAGGTCTTGCACCTAGACCAGCCTCATTTGTGCCCACTCCATCTATTGTCCTCAATTCCAGCCCAGTTATGCTTGCACTCCACTTTCTTGGTATGCTGCATGTTTCGGGCCGATCCTAATCTATTGTGCACTATGGGATTTGCTCTGTACGGTTGGGCTTGGCCTAATTCCAAGCCTTGTATTCTGGGCTATACCAGCTCGGTCCAGCCAACTTCACTTGTATTCTGGCCTAATTTCAAGCCTTTGGATGAATGGATTTCACATGAAGAGATTTGATGTTGAATTTTATAAAAATATTAGAGGATAGTTATTTTTCAAAACCAAAAAAATATATATTAGAGGATTAGTTATTGCAGGTAAATGATAACACTGAAGTGGAGGATTGAATAGAGGTATGTTTCATGTATTTTGTTAAGATCATGTACAAGTAGAATCTTTTACAGAATGATTTCAAATAACTATTTTTGTGAAGTTATGTGAAAGTAATCGTTATAGAACTTTCAATTTCATTCTTGATATCTAAATCTAAATTATTACATTGACTTAAAGGGCTATACTCCTCAAATTCTTGACATCAAATCTATTCATTTCAAATCCATAAATCCAAAGGGAGCCTAAATGTTGTGGACATATGCTATTAGATGTTCTTGAACTTTGAATTTGTTGTCTGTCAATTTTTTTCCTCCTTTTTTTGGACCAAGGTTTTATCTAACACATACATTTGTAACATAGCAAAAAGGATTGAATGTTTTGTTTTTGTTTTTGTTTTTTGGAACAATATTAGTTTGCCTTGATGAAAAAATGACCAATGCTGAGAAAATCCGTGGATGGGTCTTCATCTTTATAGTTATTGTTTGATTAGGATTTAGGGTTTAGGGTTTTCATCTTTATAGTTAGTTTGGTTTAGTTATTGTTTGATTATGATTTGTCACAATGGTACAGTTTAATCGCACCAACTTTCACTGGTGTAGTTTAATTTTGATTGGCTGATGATCAAATGATGTTTAGTGGATATTAAGTTGCACTTTTCTATGAGTTCTGAAAAGTGCTAGAGCAAAGGCTGGATTCTAATCTAATGTTTGTATCATTTATACAAAACATATTGGTCCACCAAGAGTAACAATGGTGAAGAATCCATAGTTTGGTTTTCATTTTCTTGGGTCTTAAATTCCATTTGTGTGATTGATCATTGTGTCATAATAGGACAAAAGTACCACATTGTTTTGTCTCTCTTTTTCTTTTTTTATTATTTATTTTTAAGCTGATGACTTAAAGTTGTTTGATAAATGGTCTCTCATGGGTGTCTTGTGTCTTGAAAACTAGCATGCAGAAAAGATTTCATGTCATAGTTATTTGGCCAATAAAACTGGTTTTTCCAAATTTATTCTGAAATTTTGACGTAAATCTGTTTCTTTGGTGACAGCAACTTGAGATCTGTATTTCTGGGTGAAAGAAATGGGATATATGTTTCCAGTGTTCCTGTCACTTGTGCTGGTTTTATGAGGAAGACTGTGGAATGCAAAGAATCGAGAATTGGGAAGCAACCAATTGAAGTTCCATCCAATGTGACAATCACAATGGAAAGTCAGGGTTTGAAAGTAAAGGGTCCTCTTGGGCAGCTTTCAATTGCTTATCCACGAGAAGTAAAGGTTGAGAGGGAGGAGTCAGGCCTTCTTAGGGTTAGAAAGGCAGTGGAAACGAGAAGGGCCAACCAAATGCATGGCCTATTCAGGTAAGCTCATTTTATTTTTATTTTTGTGGATAGGTATATATTGTTTTCTTTTATTTTAATATTTGTTGTGCTTAGATTAGATATTAATGTACCCTAATTTATTCTCTTCTTCTGTACTATTCTCTAAATCTTAAAACGTGATTTTATTTGAATTCTTACTTGGAAACTAATTGATCTTGTTTTTATAAAAAAAAAATTTGTGGATCTTTTCTGAACACCTTGGACGGTTGTTATCTTATTTTTTTTTTTCAATATATATCGTGAATAAGGAAAAACTTTGTTGAGAAAACAAGAGATTAATGTCGACTGCATTAAGCTTTCTGTGTAATTTTTTAAACAACTCTCTTACCACCTACCTGATCATTATTCAAACAAAGTGAAATTCAACGATAGGACCATAAGACGTGCTATACCTTTTTCTTAGCTCCAGTCTACTTTACTTTTGTCAGGACTCTTACCGATAACATGGTGGTGGGTGTATCTAAAGGATTTGAGAAGAGACTTCAATTGATTGGTGTAGGATATCGTGCAATGTTGGAAGGAAAGGTCTTGGTGTTAAATCTCGGGTTCTCTCATCCAGTTAGAATGGAAATTCCAGCTGGCATACAAGTGAAGGTGGAAGACAACACCAGAATCGTAGTAAGTGGATATGACAAGGCTGCCATTGGTCAATTTGCTGCTTCAATTAGGAAATGGAGACCCCCCGAACCTTACAAAGGTAAAGGTGTGAAATATGCTGATGAAGTAGTACGAAGAAAGGAGGGCAAAGCTGGGAAGAAGAAGTAGATATAGATGTTATTGCCATTGTTACATTTTTGTCTGCTCATCATGCTTGTCAATCTGCATAGGCAGTATCAGATATATACTGACTTGACAATTAAGCTTATCGGTATATTTATTGGTTAATTCATTTTAATTACTTGTCTTCGTTCTCTTCTTTGCCATATAATTATTTCTCTGTTTTATATTCTCTTATGTTATGGTATGAGAATTGTTATGATTGGCATTTACAACAATTCAGAGCTTGTTTAGGCTTAATTGTTTTGAAAATTGACATTTATAACTATTGCAAGTGGAATCATTTTGATACCTATAAAAGTAAACTGTGGATGTACAAGTCTGATGGCAAAAACAACCACGGACCTTTAGCACAAAATTTTCTGCCATTTAGGAGAGGCATGTCACTTTTGTGTATGCTAAAGTAAGTGGCTCTTGCTAACTACAAGAGGAAACCAAATTGCGACCCCTCATGCATGGAACTAACTTCATATCATATGGGAGCATTCAACCTCTTACTAACATTGACTTGGGGAGATTTCTGATGTTATAAATTCAGTGGTCTATGTTGCCCTGCATGGCAGTACCTAGCACTACGCAAAAGACTAAATTCAAGATTGTAACACAAATTAAAGGCATAGGGATCCTCTGTCCCCAAAAATGTTTGTCCCTTTGTCCCAAGCCTTCTCCCAACACGTAATGTCTTAAAATAAATTTCTTTTAAATTGAAAATTAGCACTCTTAAGGAGAAAGGTGCAGAGCTAATTATGGGTTAGGATGAACAAAACATGCAATTTTAATGAACATAACTGAAGTAAATAATCCAAAAAATAAAGTTCTAACGAAAAAGAGAACTGAAAGGAAAACAAACGAGACGATTCTGTCAACATGATCAAGGTTGGTTTATCAAAAAAATAAAAAAAAACCACTTTTATCCTGAGAATTGATGTAAAAGACATAAGACCACCATTCTTCATCCACAAGCCTGAAACATCAAACAAACTGAAGAAAATATGATATACATAGCCTGTATTATAGCTCACAACTTTCTTGACAAAATAACTTTCTGCATATTTGAATCAGAGGGCGCCTTGAAACCTCTAAGAAACAGTGAGAGCGAGGCTATGTAATCTCACAATTATACGCCCTGACACAGAATCTTCCAGGTTAATCAGAAAGCCGCGAAAAACTAAGCTTTTCGAATTGATCTGTAATGGGCCTGGACCATGATTTATCAGTATTCCCACATTTTAAGTCCACAATTTCAACAATACCAAATCCTTTCTTTGTAGTTCTTCCCCTTCTGAAAGTTCTATCCATGGAAATGTCTTCTGAACTGAGCATAGGAATGCCATGGGGAGAATGGCGAGTGCTGTGTAATTCTTCTGGACGCTCCCTCGCCTTCTACGATCAGAGCATTGCTCATGTTGTCAGCTCTTCTCATTTTGTAAGATGACATTCTTCTTGGTTGTAGCCTTCTTGTTGATACACCACAATCAACGGAAACTGGGACAGTTTGTGTGCGAGGTCGGCTTTCATAGGATACCAGCATCTGGGGTGTGCTCTTGATGGCATCTCGTTCATGGGTAATTAGAGCACTGATTGTTCCAATGGCACCTACTCTGATAGCTTCAAGTGTATGAACCATGATGCTCTGGAGTCTGTATTAACAGTCTAATCTAATCAGATTTTGCTCATAGAAAACAAGCTCTGAAATGCCCTGTTCAAAGAAAAGTTATCGGCAATCAGAAAACAAGCTCTTAATGGGGTCGATCTTGTTTCTCACCCAAAAATGGGTTATGTCAACTCTGCTCACCCCATTACTAGTGCTCTCATTAGTTCAGGAGCGCCATCATCATGCTTAGTTGATAAAAAAGAGTGTAGTTTTTGTTATAATATTGCAACAATCAATTTAAAGAAGCCAATTTTAAGCACTGAACTATAACATAGGTATGAAATTGTTTGGAAAAAGGAATATTCATGACTTTTAAGATTGGTATTTCAAGCCTATGAATCATCAAAATTGAGTGGTTGGGGCTGATCCAATGGGTGTCAGTTCATTATAGAAATCATACACTAAAACCCACCAATTATTATGGCATGAAGAAGAACAAAAGAAGCCCAAAATATGATCCAGACCATTTGCAGAAAAAGAAAGATCTGAAATTCTCTCTCCTAAGATAACTCATTAGAAGCATACCTAAATAAGAATCATCAGCTTCAAACGTTTCCTTATAATCAGTGAGTTTAGTTGTATACAAAATTGAATTGAGAACCCATCAGTGAAACTGATGAGACAGAGCAGAGGAACAAATAGAAGAACATGAAGAGAGTTTGAATGCATACCAGAGGGAAACCAAATGGTGGTTATCTACCAATGGGAGATACCACAAAAGGGTCTCAAAAAACCATATTATAAAAGTTTCTGCAACTTAATCATTTGATATAAAAGAATTGCAATGTCAGTTTTGTTTGGCTTCAGCTAACCTTTTCTGTCTCTATCAGCAGTTGGTTTCAAGCACGCACAATCTCATGATTACATGAGCAGTAGACTGTTTCCATTTTTATTTTATTTTTTGAGCTCTCTCAATATATTATTAAGAGGTTGTAAAACATTATTGAAAGTTTGTTTGGCATTGGCTAATATAGTCAATTTTTTTGTGTTGGGACTTTTTTAACTTTTTTTTTAATCTCGTTTGGTTTGAATTTTTTGACTTTTTTGACTTTTGTGAGAGAAAAAATGTAATGATTATGTATTAGATTTGATAGTTTGTCTTATTAGCTTATTTAGCCTATTTTGTCATTTTGTGCCTTTTTAGTTTCAAAATGATAGCCAAACCAGCCCTGAATTTGAAACTTCGGCATATAATAAATGATCAAATTACTGGGCATTGGGCAGCTAGATTTTGCAATCATCCCCTCATAAACCACATGTGAGATCAATAATTTGCTAGACATCTGTTAAAAAAAAAAAGAAAAGGTATTTATGCTAAGCATTCAAACCAAACATCATAAGCAATAATTTAATTAAATCATATTCTTATTAAATTATCATTTGGCTGGATAATTTGATGGTTATTACAAATATCTACATTAATTAGACATTCTACATGAAAGAAAGTTTAGCTCATAGCCATAAGACTGGATAATTTTCAGCATAAGAAGACAACAATTCCCTTTGCAGACAATTATAATTTTTCTACCCACTCATCTTTGCTAGCCAAGATGGGTGCATGAAAAACATCAGATGCATTTAGATTGACTGGCCTTGTTTGGGGACTAAACATTTCAGTTAAAAAGTCAAAAAATCACTATAAGTCGACACATCACTCTCTACTTTTCTGCATATCTTTTTATAAAAAGCGAAAAAATTATTAAAATTGCTTGTTTCCAAACGAGGCCTATTAACATAGTAAGCAGGCAATAAATTTGGACAAATTTCTAACATCCAATAAAGGTCAGTTGAAGAAAGACCATGGCAAAACACTAGCTGTTGACTGGGTATCATTTCTCCAGTTCTTTTGGTCCCCAAAGGCAGGCAGCACCACCATAATCTTCAGAGACTAATCTTTCTACCAAACAAGGTTACATGAAGTCATATAATTCATAATTTTTTTATACAAGGATGATGCCAAATCTATGTGATAATGTGGTGCAACGTGTTAATATGGGGCTAGTAGAACTGAAAATCAGCAATGCTAATATACTATTAGTTCATTAACTTTCCAGAGTATCACATTGCCATTATTAGCATCATCACCACAGTGAAGATTCGGGTGGAAACAATAGTAGTCAGTACAGAAGAACGCTAAACTGTTTGTTGCAAATTTGTCACTGGAACTGCCAGTACGCTGTTTCCTTTACTAACACTGCTCTTCTGAAACAAAGGGCAGTGAAGGAAACAACCAGAAAAAAGAACACAAGCACTATCTGAATGCAAAAAATTTAACAGTAAAGCAACATACTAAAGCTATTACTATCGTAAGCAAGCCCCTGACCTAAACCAACACTGCACATGTCCAAATTTATTTCCACGAACTGTACCAACATTCATCCGTTCGCAGCAAGCTCCAACCCTTCCCTGCATCCAAACACAAAGCAACAAGTAAAAGAACTTTTCAAGTAGTGTAAAATTGTAATATCACAACATGAGCTCAACTTCTGATATTGTGAAACTCCCTGATCACACACAAGTAATAACCATGCAAGCATTAAATAATATATTCAGATGCATTATCATTTGTACACTCCAATCATACACATTATACCTAAGAGCTCGCTTCCTGCTCGTTCTCATCGTGGACTTCAGAAGATGATTTTCCAGATTCATCAGGCTTCAATTCTCCATTGCCATTCTAGTAATTCAAAAAATGAAAAAGAAGAAACAGAAAATCAAAATAAGCACAAAATCTAGTGAAAACCTAACAGCATTTGAAGAAGTGAAATGAAGTAACAAGCTGGACAATGATGATTTAAAACAGTGATAAAAGTATACGAGTTTGCTGTTAAACTCTTTCATTGCTTTCTCATACTCCGCCTTCTTCTTCATAGCCTTTGCCACGTAAGGAGCTTTCTCCTATATGCAAGAAGAATATAGCAGTTACCGAGCAAACGATTCAAAAAACACAAAACAGCTAAACAGTTCTCAGAATGCAATATAAATATATACCCAAAAAAAAAAAAAAAAAAAAAAAAACAAACACATTAAGCTTTCTATGTAATTTTTTAAACAACTCTCTTATCACCTACCTTATCATTATTCAAACAAAGTGAAATTCAAAGATAGGACCATAAGACGTGCTATACCTTTTTCTTAGCTCCAGTCTACTTTACTTTTGTCAGGACTCTTACCGATAACATGGTGGTGGGTGTATCTAAAGGATTTGAAAAGAGACTTCAATTGATTGGTGTAGGATATCGTGCAATGTTGGAAGGAAAAGTCTTGGTATTAAACCTCGGGTTCTCTCCTCCAGTTAGAATGGAAATCCCAGCTGGCATACAAGTGAAGGTGGAACACAACACCAGAATCGTAGTAAGTGGATACGACAAGGCTGCCATTGGTCAATTTGCTGCTTCAATTAGGAAATGGAGACCCCCCGAACCTTACAAAGGTAAAGGTGTGAAATATGCTGATGAAGTAGTACGAAGAAAGGAGGGCAAAGCTGGGAAGAAGAAGTAGATGTAGATGTTATTGCCATTGTTACATTTTTGTCTGCTCATCTTGCTTGTCGATCTGCATAGGCAGTATCAGATATACTGACATGACAATTATCTTATCGGTATATTTATTGGTTATTTCATTTTAATTATTTGTATTCCTTCTCTTCTTTGCCGTACAATTATTTCTCTGTTTTATATTCTCTTCTGTTGTGGCATGAGAATTGTTATGATTGGCATTTACAACAATTCAGAGCTTGTTTAGGCTAAATGGTTTTGAAAATTGACATTTATAACTATTGGATAGTAGAATCATTTTGATACCTATAAAAGTAAACAGTGGATGTACAAGTCTGATGGCAAAAACAACCACGGACCTTTAGCACAAAATTTTCTGACATTTAGGAGAGGCATATCACCTTTGTATGCTAAAGTTAGTGGCTCTTACTAACTACACGAGGAAACCAAATTGTGACCCCTCATGCATGGAACTAACTTCATATCATATGGGAACATTCAGCCTCTTACTAACATTGACTTGGGGAGATTTCTGATGTTATAAATTCAGTGGTCTATGTTGCCCTGCATGGCATTACCTAGCATTAAGCAAAAGATTAAATTCAAGATTGTAACACAAATTAAAGGCATAGGGATCTTCTGTCCCCAAAAAATGTTTGTCCCTTTGTCCCAAGCCTTCTCCCAGCATATGATGTCTTAAAATAAATTTTCTTTTAAATTGAAAATTAGCACTCTTAAGGAGAAAGGTGCAGAGCTAATTATGGGTTAGGATGAACAAAACATGCAATTTTAATGAACATAACTGAAGTAAATAATCCAAAAAATAAAGTTCTAATGAAAAAGAGAACTGAAAGGAAAGCAAAAGAGACGATTCTGTCAACATGATCAAGGTTGGTTTATCAAAAAAAACAAAAAAAAAAAAAAACCACTTTTATTCTGAGAGTCGATGTAAAAGACATAAGACCACCATTCTTCATCCACAAGCCTGAAACATCAAACAAACTGAAGAAAATATGATATACATAGTCTGTATTATAGCTCACAACTTCCTTGACAAAATAACTTTCTGCATATTTGAATCAGTGAGTGCGAGGCTATGTAATCTCACAATTATACGCCCTGACATAGAATCTTCCAGGTTAATCAGAAAGCCGCAAAAAATTGAGCTTTTTGAATTGATCAGTAATAGGCTTGGACCATGATTTCTCAGTATTCCCACATTTGAAGTCCACAATTTCAACAATACCAAATCCTTTCTTTGTAGTTCTTCCCCTTCTGAAAGTTCTATCCATGGAAATGTCTTCTGAACTGAGCATAGGAATGCCATGGGGAGAATGGTGAGTGCTGTGTAATTTCTTCTGGACGCTCCCTTGCCTTCTACGATCAGAGCATTGCTCATGTTGTCAGCTCTTCTCATTTTGTAAGATGACATTCTTCTTGGTTGTGACAATCTTGTTGATACACCACAATCAATGGAAACTGGGACAGTTTGTCTGTGAGGTCGGCTTTCATAGGATATCGGCATCTGGGGTGTGCTCTTGATGGCATCTAGTTCATGGGTAATCAGAGCACTGATTGTTCCAATGGCACCTACTCTGATAGCTTCAAGTGTATGAACCATGATGCTCTGGAGTCTGTATTAACAGTCTAATCTAATCAGATTTTGCTCATAGAAAACAAGCTCTGAAATGCCCTGTTCAAAGAAAAGTTATCGGCAATCAGAAAACAAGCTTTTAATGGGGTCGATCTTGTCTCTCACCCAAAAATGGGTTATGTCAACTCTGCTCACCCCATTACTAGTGCTCTCATTAGTTCAGGAGCACCATCATCATGCTTAGTTGATAAAAAAGAGTAGTAGTTTTTGTTATAATATTGCAACAATCAATTTAAAGAAGCCAATTTTAAGCACTGAACTATAACATAGGTATGAAATTGTTTGGAAAAAGGAATATTCATGACTTTTAAGATTGGTATTTCAAGCCTATGAATCATCAAAATTGAGTGGTTGGGGCTGATCCAATGGGTGTCAGTTCATTATAGAAATCATACACTAAAACCCACCAATTATTATGGCATGAAGAAGAACAAAAGAAGCCCAAAATATGATCGAGACCATTTGCAGAAAAAGAAAGATCTGAAATTCTCTCTCCTAAGATAACTCATTAGAAGCATACCTAAATAAGAATCATCATCTTCAAACGTTTCCTTATAATCAGTGAGTTTAGTTGTATACAAAATTGAATTGAGAACCCATCGGTGAAACTGCTGAGACAGAGCAGAGGAACACATAGAAGAACATGAAGAGTTTGAATACATACCAGAGGGAAACCAAATGGTGGTGATCTACCAATGGGAGATACCACAAAAGGGTCTCAAAAAACCATATTATAAAAGTTTCTGCAACTTAATCATTTGATATAAAGAATTGCAATGCCAGTTTTGTTTGGCTTCAGCTAACCTTTTCTGTCTCTATCAGCAGTTGGTTTCAAGCACGCACAATCTCATGATTACATGAGCAATAGACTGTTTCCATTTTTATTTTATTTTTTGAGCTCTCTCAATATATTATTAAGAGGTTGTAAAACATTATTGAAAGTTTGTTTGGCATTGGCTAATATAGTCAATTTTTTTGTGTTGGAGACTTTTTTAGCTTTTTTTTTAACCTCGTTTGGTTTGATTTTTTTGACTTCTTTGACTTTTATGAGAGAAAAAATGCAATGATTATGTATTGGATTTGATAATTTATCTTATTAACTTATTTAGCCTATTTTGTCATTTTATGCCTTTTTAGTTTCAAAATGATAGTCAAACCAGCACTGAATTTGAAACTTCGGAATATAATAAATGATCAAATTACTGTGCATTGGGCAGCTAGATTTTGCAATCATCGCCTCATAAACCGCATGTGAGATCAATAATTTGCTAGACATCTGTTAAAAAAAAAAAAAGGTATTTATGCAAAGCATTCAAACCAAACATCATAAGCAATAATTTAATTAAATCATATTCTTATTAAATTATCATTTGGCTGTATAATTTGATGGTTATTACAAATATCTACATTAATTAGACATTCTACATGAAAGAAAGTTTAGCTCACAGCCATAAGACTGGATAATTTTCAGCATAAGAAGACAACAATTCCCTTTGCAGACAATTATAATTTTTCTACCCACTCATCTTTGCTAGCCAAGATGGGTGTATGAAAAACATCAGATGCATTTAGATTGACTGGCCTTGTTTGGGGACTAAACATTTCAGTTAAAAAGTCAAAAAATCACTATAAGTCGTCACATCACTCTCTACTTTTCTCTCTACTTTTCTGCATATCTTTTTATAAAAAGCAAAAAAATTATTAAAATTGCCTGTTTCCAAACGAGGCCTATTAACATAGTAAGCAGGCAATAAATTTGGACAAATTTCTAACATCCAATAAAGGTCAGTTGAAGAAAGACCATGGCAAAACACTAGCTGTTGACTGGGTATCATTTCTCCAGTTCTTTTGGTCCCCAAAGGCCCCTAAAGGCAGCACCACCATAATCTTCAGAGACTAATCTTTCTACCAAACAAGGTTACACGAAATATAATTCATAATTTTTTTATACAAGGATGATGCCAAATCTATGTGATAATGTGGTGCAACGTGTTAATATGGGGCTAGTAGAACTGAAAATCAGCAAGGCTAATATACTATTAGTTCATTAACTTTCCAGAGTATCACATTGCCATTATTAGCATCATCACCACAGTGAAGATTCGGGTGGAAACAATAGTTGTCACTGTCAGTACAGAAGAACGCTAAACTGTTTGTTGCAAATTTGTCACTGGAACTGCCAGTACGCTGTTTCCTTTACTAACACTGCTCTTCTGAAACTAAGGACAGTGAAGGAAACAACCAGAAAAAAGAACACAAACACTATCTGAATGCAAAAAATTTAACAGTAAAGCAACATACTAAAGCTATTACTATCGTAAGCAAGCCCCTGACCTAAACCAACACTGCACATGTCCAAATTTATTTCCACGAACTGTACTAACATTCATCCGTTCGCAGCAAGCTCCAACCCTTCCCTGCATCCAAACACAAAGCAACAAGTAAAATAACTTTTCAAGTAGTGTAAAATTGTAATATCACACACAAGTAATAACCATGCAAGCATTAAATAATATATTCAGATGCATTATCATTTGTACACTCCAATCATACACATTATACCTAAGAGCTCGCTTCCTGCTCGTTCTCATCGTGGACTTCAGAAGATGATTTTCCAGATTCATCAGGCTTCAATTCTCCATTGCCATTCTAGTAATTCAAAAAATGAAAAAGAAGAAACAGAGTATCAAAATAAGCACAAAATTTAGTGAAACTTTACAGCATTTGAAGAAGTGAAATGAAGTAACAAGCTGGACAATGATGATTTAAAACAGTGATAAAAGTATACGAGTTTGCTGTTAAACTCTTCCATTGCTTTCTCATACTCCGCCTTCTTCTTCATAGCCTTTGCCACGTAAGGAGCTTTCTCCTATATGCAAGAAGAATATAGCAGTTACCGAGCAAACGATTCAAAAAACACAAAACAGCTAAACAGTTCTCAGAATGCAATATAAATATATACCCACAAAAAAAAAAAAAAAAAAAAAAAAAAAAAAAAAAAAAAAAAAAACACCACAACATTTTCAATGGAAATTGACTAATAAGCTAAACATGAACTAATTCAACAAGGATAACCGTGACTTAGAACATGGTAATATTGATCACCACTTTGAATATTCATTTTGGTTATCACAAGTGAAAGTAGATCTTACAGATTCAGACATTTCTTTCCATTTCACTCCACCAGCTTTCCCAACCTGAAACTCACAGATCTCAGAAAACAAATTTGTAATAGTGAAGAGTAGACTTCCGTTCGGTTGCAAAGAAATTACAGAAAAACAGTTCTGATTCTAATTGTTTGATTTATTGCTCTCTTGTAACTGAAATTCAATCGTACAGAGCCAACAAAACAACCGAGTTTAGATCAAGTTTTCAAAACCAAAACAATAGAAAACATTTAAATCCTGCATTTCAATTTCCGTGAGTTTTCTTAGTTTTCTCTGCAACCAAACAGAAGGTGAGAAAGTTCAGTAAGCAGTAAAAATATCAAACGAGGCTTATAAATCCAAAGCTAGATCAAAGTTTCGTATCTCACAACTGAAACCGATTTGTTATCAGGAAAATTCTCTTTGAACGACTTCCTGAACTCGTCCCTATTAATCCACCATCACCAGGAGAAAAAAAAACACACACACACACACAGCATCAACAAACAACGAACACAACAGAAAAAATCACCATACAAAGAGAAAATCTATCAATACGAAAATGCGAAGTAAAATCTCACATGAAGACGAAGAATGCACTCGAAGGACGCTTCGGAGCACCTGAGTTCTTCTTGTTCGCTTTTTCCTTCTTCGCATTCGCATCAGCCTTACGTTTCTTCACCATTCTTCGAAACACAAGCATAAAAGCAAAATCAAAAGCAGTTGAAACTCAACGAGGAGAGAACCAAAACGAAAATGAAAACAACAAAAACGAAACCAGAAAACAAAAACCGTACTCTGAGTCAATTTTCTTGTGAGCGATCGAGGTGGCTTTCGGTCCTTTCATGGTGTGATCTTCTGAAGCTGAGAGACTTGGAGAGAGACGAATTCGAAATTCCAAAACTCGGAAAGTGTTGAAACGTGAGAGAGTAGTGAAGCGTCGCGGCTACTTATATGGGGAGGACGGTTGTTTGTGGTTGTGAAATGGAATGAAATTGAAATTGAAATTCAGATGCAAATTTTGTTTTTGCATTTTGCCGGGAAGGAATGATGGAGGTCGTGGCAGTTACAGAAGGAGAGAACGAAAGAGAGCACTCGCGGTTGCTGGAAAATGAAGACACTCGCTTCAGAGGATTGACACGTGGTTAATTGAGGGTATCTTAGTAATTTACCCAATGTTGTGGTGGAAGTTTACAAAGCACAGCGTTTTTCAATTTTATAATTTAATTTCTTAAAAATAAATAAAATTTTCTAAATATTAAACAAGATATTTTTAAAATTATGAGAAAAATTATTTATAAATCCTATTAGGGAGACTTATGTAATGTAAAATCCTACGAAATTTTTTATAAAGTTTGAAATCTATTTAAATTAGAAAATATTTCACAAAGTCCTATAAATTGTGTCTAAATAATATTAGTTGACTATTATACCCTTTATATATGTTTCCATATTATAACCGTATTGTTTCCAAATTGTTTGGTGTCGTGATCTGCGCCATGATCGCGGAGGCTGGTGGGTTTTCAAAATGTTACTGGTTTGAATAGTTTGGTTGTTTGATCTTGCCGATCTGGACTCAGATTGTTTGAGGGAAGGAGATAAAGTTGTTTGCTTCTTCAATTGGTGAGTGTTGTTCTGTGTTTTTCCCGTTTGTTTTGTTTTCAATGTCCTCATATATCATATGAATTTCGCAATCTGGAATAGCCATCCATTGGCACACTTTGTAATGGTAATCACGCATCAACTTTGGTGGTAAAGTTATTGTATTGTAATGTTCATATACGTGTTACATTACGTTTCGTAAAACCATATTACGTTCGCTTATTAAATTAGAAAGTGAGAATATGAGAATGTTGCTGGGTAGTGCGAAATGGTACAACCATACATTGGCACAACCCCGTTAGCCTCGAAGGCCGTTATGTTTAGGTTGTAATGTTTGTTATGAAAAATAGAGAGATTGTATATTGAATTGAATGAATAATACAATAGGAGAAGCCTATATATATAGGCAGAAAGGAAACCTAGATAGGTACAGAAAAGGAGAAAGGAAACCTAGATAGGTACAGAAAATGGGAAAGGAAACCTAGATAGGTACAAAAAAGGATAGATAAGATATATCTATAATAATATACAGCTAACACCCCCCCTCAAGTTCAAGGTGGTAAGTCAGATAGCAACTTGAGCTTGGAGAGGAGATCAGAGAAGCGGCCTGGAAGATGAGCTTTGGTGAAGAGGTCGGCGGTCTGATCAGCAGAAGTAGCAAAGAGAAGACGAACATGGCCACTAGTAACATGCTGTCGTATGAAATGGCAATCAATCTCAATATGCTTGGTGCGATCATGGAAGACATCGTTATGGGCAATTTGAATAGCACTTTGATTGTCACAATAAAGATTGGTGGCAGCGGAATGAGAAACACCCATGTCAGAAAGAAGCCAACGAAGCCACGCAAGCTCCTGAGTACTATCAGCAAGAGCACGATACTCAGCCTCGTTACTAGAACGAGCAACAAGGGTTTGCTTCTTGCTACGCTAGGAAATGAGAGAGTTGCCCAAGAAGAAGCAGAACCCAGTAGTGGAACGATGATTAGTAGGATCCCCTGCCCAATTGGCATCAGAAAAGGCATGCAGCTATAGAGAAGAGTGAGGGGAGTAGTGAAGACCATGAAATAGAGTTCCTTTGAGATAGCGCAAAATGCGAACCAGAGCAGCATGGTGTGGAGAGCGAGGAACAGTCATAAATTGACTAACAATGTAAACAGCATAAGCAATATCTGGACGAGTAACTGTGAGATAGACAAGACTACCAACTAGCTGACGATATAAAGTGGCATCTGACAATAGGGGGCCATCAAGAGGTGTAAGACGAATCTAAGGGTCAACTGGAGTAGTGACAATCTTGCAATCGGTAAGGCTAGCACGAGCCAAGAGATCAGAAGTATACTTGGCCTGGGTAAAAAAATAACCAGAGGAATCTTGAGAAATTTCTAAGCCAAGGAAGTAGCTAAGTGTACCCAAATCTTTCATCTCAAACTGGCGATGAAGAAACTATTTGAGACTAGAAATACCCATTGTGTCATCTCCAGTGATAATCATATCATCCACATAGAGGAGAAGGAGAATAATACCGCGCTTTGTCTTACGAATAAACAAGGCAGAATCATGGGCATTGGAAGAAAAACCAAAGTCACGAATGGTAGAGCTGAACTTGGCAAACCAGGCACGTGGAGCTTGTTTTAAACCAAACAAAGCACGGCGGAGTTTGCAAACCTTGTTTGAAGGAACAGAAGAACCAGGAGGGGGTTGCATATAAACTTCCTCAGTGAGATCACCATTGAGAAATGCATTCTTGACATCCATCTGAGAAAGGTGCCAGTGGCAAGCAGCAGCAACGGCAAGTAAGTTGCGAACTGAAGTAAGACGGGCAACAGGAGCAAATGTTTCCTCATAGTCAATCCCATATTCTTGACTAAATCCCTGGGCGACAAGGCGAGCTTTGTAACGCTCAATGCAACTAATAGTACGCTTTCCAGGAGGAAGATCAACCACATCCCAGGTATGAGTTTGATCGAAAGCCTGCAGTTCATTAGTTATAGCTTGTTGCCAAAGAGGGTTAGAAGAAGCTTCTTGATAAGAGGTAGGTTCATGAGAGCAAAAGGCAGTGGAACCAACAATATAATCACGGAGAAGAACAGAAGTTTGCCTTACCCGTGTAGAATGACGCTCAGGTAGAGGAGGAACCTCAAAGGAAATCGGTTCCGGAGGAACCTCCACCGGAGCTGGAGAAGGCATAGGGCCATCAGCTGACACAAGATCCTCAAGATGGACGATAGGCGTTGGCGGCTGAGGAAGCATGGGGCCAGAATCTGCATCAAAGTCATCAGAAAATAGGTCTATAAAAATATCAGTGAAGACTGGTGAGTGGGTGGACGGCGGTAGGTGAAACTTGGAAAGAGTAGAGAACATTTGGTGTTCCCAAAAGACCACATGACGGGCAATACGAAGACGCTTGGAGATAGGATCCCATCAACGTTACCCTTTATGTTCTATACCATACCCCAGAAAACAACAAAGACGAGAACGAGGTTTGAGTTTAGTGTGTTCATGAGGCTGAAGTAGAACAAAACAAATAGAACCAAAAACTTTAAAAGTAGTATAGTCAGGAGGAGAACCATACAAGCGCTCGTAAGGAAAAATGTTAGTTATGACAGGGGTGGGGACACGATTGATGGTGTAGATGGCAGTGAGGGCAGCTTCCCTCCAAAATTTTTCAGGACAAGAAGAAGAGAGCAGAAGAGCCCAAGTAGTGTCTAGAATATGACGGTGCTTTCTTTATGCTCGTCCATTTTGTTGGGAAGTGCCTGCACAAGATCGATGAGAGAGAGTACCATGAGCTCGAAGAAAAGAAAGAAAATCAGAATCTAAGTACTTCTTAGCATTATCAGAACGAAAAAGCTTAATAGTACGAGAAAACTGAGTGTGGACCATAGCAGAGAAATCATAGTAAATTTGTTTAAGTTCAGAACGATTTTTGAGAAGAAAAAGCCAAGTATAGCGAGAAAAATCATCAACAAAAATTACAAAATATCTGGATCCCCCCATGGTAGGTGTGGGAGAAGGTCCTCAAATATCTGAATGCACAAGATCAAAAGGAGCAGTAGAAATAGAATTATTTTTATTAAAAGGTAAGGCAGGTTGTTTAGCAATTTGACAAGATAAACAATCGATATCTTCAAGACGGACACGACCTAACTGACCACTAGAAACTAAAATTTTCAAACGACTAAAAGACATATGTCCTAAGCGACAATGCCAAAGATGAAAAAAAGACATAGTAGATGCAGCAGCAATAGTAGATGATTTGTGCGGACTGTGAAGATGGATAAGCTCGAACAGACATCCATGCTTACGGCCTATCCCAAGGATCTGTCTCGTTTGAGGGTCTTGCACCAAACAACCATTAGCAGAGAATGTAATAGTTAGACCAAGTTCACATAATTGACCAACAGGGATAAGGTTCATTTTAAGAGAAGGAATATGGTAAGCATTAGAAAGAGACACAATGGAAGTAAAGATTTTGCCAATATGACTAACAGGCATATGAGAACCATCAGCAATGTGTATAGTGGGAGCAGAAGAGGATGATGACAAAGAAGAAAAGAGAGTGGAGTCAGAAGTCATGTGATTACAGCATGCGGAATCAAAATACCATGAAGAGTTACCTGAGGTTACTGAAAGAGCAGTAGAGGGAGGAGTACCAGATTTGTTGAGCACCTGGTAGATAATGGACTCAACATCATTCATAGAGAAGGAATGAGTAGAAAAACCCTCAGAGGCAGCAGCAGCAGAGCGAGAACCGTGGCCAGATATGGACTAAGACCCAGAACGAGAAGCCCTTTTCTTAGATGAAGTAGTGGAGGGAGCTCGAGGACAATTGTTTTGGAGATGGCTCGAAGCAGTCTTATGACAAGTCAAGCAATCGCGAACCTGGCAGTGAACAAGAGAATGATTGGCTGGCAGGCCTCGGTTACGACAATAACTGTATATGATGGGCTGTGAAGATGAGGAATTCTAAGAAGATGGCGTAGCAAGAACAGAATCCATGTCTTGAGATCTAAGACTCCCAAAATGAGTCTCTTCTGATAGGAGCTCAGTAATGGCTTGCTCTAAAGTGGGCAAGGGCAAACGATGAAGCAAAGAAGCACGAACAGGCTTAAAAGTGCTATGAAGAGCCATAAGAAACTGTAATAGTCGCTGATGATTCCGATAAGTAATAAAGAGCTGTGCATCATCAGAATGAGCCCATGGAGGTTCAGAAAGAGCGAGCTAGTCCCAAACAGACGACATTTGGGATAGGAAGTCATTAAGAGATTGACCAGGTGCCTGGCGCATGTGATGAAGAGTCTGCAACAGTTGATTCTGATGAGCATGTC